ATGCTCACTCCTGTTTGCTAGCCACTCACCTCCTGCTGTGCTGCCCTGTTCCTAACAGGCTGTGGACTGGTCCATGCCTAGAGGTTGAGAACACCTGATTTTTTTTTTTTTTTTTGAGACAAAGTCTTACTCTGTTGCCCAGGCTGGAGTGCAATGGCATAATCTCGGCTCTTGCAAGTCTGCCTCCCAGGTTCAAGCAATTCTCCTGTCTCAGCCTCCTGAGTAGCCGGGATTATAGGCATGCACCACCATACCCAGCTAATTTTGTATTTTGAGTAGAAACGGGATTTCTCCATGTTGTTCAGGCTGGCCTCAAATTCCTGACCTCAGATGATCTGCCCACCTTGGCCTCCCACAGTGCTGGGATTACAGGCGTGAGCCACCACACCCGGCCAAGGACACCTGATTTAAAGGAAGAAAAAGGAATTTATTGGCTTGTGGAACTATCAAAGAACAAAATTTCAACAAATCAAGTTTAAAGACACTTTTGTTGATAATTCATGAATTGGGCAGCATTTCTTCTATAAAATACAAAGGCACCCTGAGGAGCTGAGCAGAGGAGCTGGGCTTTACAGGCAGAAGAGGCAGAAGAAAGCAGAAACAAGGAATAAAAAGCAGTTTGGTTGTTTCAAAGTCACTTTTCTTATAGGATTAAAGCAGAAGGGACTTCCTTATCATGCTGGCCCAGGTTGATGGGGCCTCTTTGGATTGGTTGCTGTGAATCTTCCTTTTCTTTGGAAAACTGATCCACTTCTAAGTTCGGTTTGACTACGTAACAGCTAGTGTGAGTGACTCCATTCTGGTTTGGTCTGATATGTTGGGGCCCAGTGCAGGAGCTCAGTCCAAACCAATGGCCTCACTGTAAGTTTTACTTAACAGAACTAAAAAGCCAAGGGATATACAGGCTTCAGGTATACCTGGAGTCGGGGCTCAAATGATGTTACCAGGACCACTGCTCTCCTGATGTCTCTGTTTTTCCTGCCTCTATTCTGGCTTTATTCTGAGGCATACTTTCTTTTTATGTGAGGCAGATTGTAACCAGTAGTGGCAGGTGGTTTATGACCTTATAGAGCTACAGGCAGAAAAAGAGAAAACTTTTCATTGCCATCAATATAAAGTTAAGTCCAAGCTGGGCTTGGTGGCTCACACCTGTAATCCCAACACTTTGGGAGACCAAGGCAGGTGGATCACTTGAGCCCAGGAGTTTGAGACCAGCCTGGGCAACATGGTGAAACTCTGTCTCTACAAAAATTAGCTGGGTAGGGGGGCGTGCACCTGTAGTCCCAGCTACTCAGGAGGCTGAGGCGGGAGGATCAATTGAGCCTGAAAGCTCCAGGCTACAGTGAGCCATAATCACACCACTGTACTCCAGCCTGGGTGACAGAGCCAAGACCTTGTCTCAAAAATAAAATAAAATAAAACAATATAGCCGGGCGCGGTGGCTCAAGCCTGTAATCCCAGCACTTTGGGAGGCCGAGGCGGGCGGATCACGAGGTCAGGAGATCGAGACCATCCTGGCTAACATGGTGAAACCCCGTCTCTACTAAAAAATACAAAAAACTAGCCGGGCGACGTGGCGGGCGCCTATAGTCCCAGCTACTCGGGAAGCTGAGGCAGGAGAATGGCGTAAACCCAGGAGGCGGAACTTGCAGTGAGCTGAGATCCAGCCACTGCACTCCAGCCTGGGCGGCAGAGCGAGACTCCGTCTCAAAAAAAAAAAAAAAAAAAAAACAATATAAGTTAAGTCCTGGGCCCGACATGAATTGGCCTGAATTGTAACATGTCTCCTCTCCCCAAAACCCATCACTGTGGCTGGGAATGCCATGATCTGATTATCCAGGTGCCATGCACATGCCCCCTCCCAGAGCTGAGGGTGGAACCAACATGGCAGAATTCCATGGATGAAAACCATGATGCTGCCAGTTGACTAAAGTTTAATAGATGCTGAGTCAACAAATAATGAGTGTCCGTTAGATCACCTGTTGCTCATTAGGCAGTCTCTAGTCTCTAAAGTAGCCACACAGCAGAATCACAGTGGTACCAAAAACAAAGGAGAGCCCAGCCTAGCTGCTGGAATGGGAATCCACAGGAAAACTGCAAGCCTGGCTTTGCTGAAACAGGTCAGCCACAGTGCATTTTCAGTGTTGGCAGTACAGCCTAAGGATGTGACGAGATCCTCACAAGGTGACTCACAGCCACATGGCATTTCTAAATGTGAGGAGAAAAGCTGAATGTCCCGATTGTGGCCGTCAACTTATTGCCTCTTTGAGGATAAAATAATTCCCAGCTTTGGTTTCCTCCTCAGGAAACTGCAACTGGTAATACCTACCTTGTGAGTTATTGCAAAGATTAAAGAGGGGATCATGAGAAAATAGTGTTATAGCGCCTGGAAGAGAACAGTCATCTAATAAAAGTTAGTTTCCTTTCCCTAGACTTAACTACTCTGCTCTATTTTAATATAATGTATGCGAGTCACGTGTTTATGACATGCTAAACAGGCAACGGTTATAGGGCACTGACGAAGGGTTGGCCAATGGTCTAAGGACTTTATATTCAATAATCCATTTAATTTTTGGTTCCTCCCCACAAGTCTTTGGGGAAGAAAACATTATCCCCATTTTAGGAGATGATGTGCTGAAAGGTTGGATAACTCACCCACGGTCTCACAGCTAGTTTGTGGCAGAAATTATTTCAAACGCAGGCATTCTGACTGTAGGGCAGATGCTCTAAACCAGGACACCATACAGCCTCGTCCTGAGAACATCTATTTCTTCCACTCTGAGCTGTTTGTCTTATGTCTCCTGTCAAAGGACACCACACAAACCAGCACTTAATAAATGTGTGAATTTTGCCCTGGCAGATGGTAGAGGAAGGAATAAAGATGTAGAGGGAAGTGGACATGTTGGAATAGATATTTTCTGTGAGGCCAGAAGACCTCCAGAGGATTATGCTACACACATAGGCCCAGAGCTTATGCTTCACTTGCCAAGGCCATCAGGAATACTCCAGGGAGAAGGTGCCAGCATCAGTGAGAAGTTCAGTGCTAGCGAGGGCTGTGGGTAGGAGATGCTGTCACAGAGCTTGGTTCATGGATAGCAATGAGCAGGTGGGCTCCTGAAGCAAGAGGCCAGGGGGCAGCACTTAACCACTAGAAGCCAGAGGGTTGTAATTATAGTAATGGCCAGCAAAGCAGAATGGCAGCCAAGGGAGCTTGATCCAAAGAGAGTTGTGGAGATAGTTCACAGAGTATGGTGTCCCAAAGGACAAAGTCAATGACCAGTCAATGGGGATGCTGCTTAATATGCACCATCAAAAGAAAGTAAGAATGAGGCTGGGTGCGGTGGCTCACACCTATAATCCCAGCACTTTGGGAGGCCAAGGCGGGTGGATTGCCTGAGGTCAGGAGTTTGAGACCAGCTTGGCCAACATGGTGAAACCCTGTCTCTACTAAAAATACAAAAATTAGCCAGGCATAGTGGCACATGCCTGTAATCCCAGCTACTTGGGAGGCTGAGTCAGGAGAATTGCTTGAGTCCGGGAGGAGGAGGTTGCAGTGAGCCAAGATAGCGCCACTGCACTCCAGCCTGGGCAACAGAGTGAGACTCCGTCTTAAAAAATAATAATAATAATTAAAAATAAATAAATAAAAAGCAAGAATGGAGGAGCAGGAGGCTGCGAGAGGTTGCCCTAATGAAATGTCGTGGTTGGGGAAACAGCAAGAGTTCCATTTGAACTATAAAATATGGCTCCTGCCCTGGCATTTTGAATTCTTCGTGACCATGAATCAGCAGGTAAGAAGAGTTGCCATCTTGGTAAGGGTAGTTGCTCCTGATTAGCAGGAGGAGTTTGTGTTGCTGTTACAAGTGGGGACAATGAAGAATACGTAGAGAACTCACGCAGTCCACTTGGGTGCTTTATGATACTCCCTGGCCCAACTGAGAACATACATGGATGAGTACAGCAACCCCAGCTTGAGATAAGTATGGTTACCAGTGGTTTCATTCAAAAATGAAAGTTTTGTCACACCATCAGCAAGTCACTGAGACCACTAGAGAAGGTAACTGAGGGAGAGTAAATTTGGAATAGATAGTGGAGAAGGGAGAGGATAAGTATCAGTTGCAATCCCAAGATCAACTGCTGTGACAAGGGGTATAGTTCATCCCACTGATCTGCCTCTTTTAAGTTTATCTGCAAGAAGAGAGGCACACTGGAACCCTGGAGGAGCTGTTCCCTAAATGGGAAGGGAGTTGCATGGTGCACGGGGTGGACCGTGGTAGTTGTGAAGACACACCACTTGGCTCTCCGTTCAAGAAATAACTTCCATTCAGCTGCAAGGAGAGTGGTTAGTTGACAGCCTCCAACTGCAGCAGCTTCAGACCACCTCAGTTTTCAAGCTAAGGCCACACTCTTCCTGAACCGTCTCCAGATAATAACCAAACATAGTGGAAGTACTAGGGGCTGGCTATTTCTGGCCAAAGCGGATATCTTCCAATCGGCAGTCTTTGCTCTGGTGTTTCCCATTGAGTTGGCCAAAACTGTCAGGTGTGCATTGTATTCTGAGGTGCTCCTGTTCAATCCTGTTTCTTCCCCACTTTTTTTTTTTTTTTTTATGAGACAGAGTTTCGCTTTTGTCGCCCAGGCTGGAGTGCAATGGCGCGATCTCAGCTCATTGCAACCTCTGCCTCCGAGGTTCAAGTGATTCTCCTGCTTCAGCCTTCTGAGTAGCTGGGATTATAGGCATGTGCCACCATACCTGGCTAATTTTGTATTTTTAGTAGAGATGGGCTTTCACTATATTGGTCAGCCTGGTCTCGAACTCCCAACCTCAGGTGATTTGCCCACCTCGGTCTCCCAAAGTGCTGGGATTACAGAGTGAGCCACCGCGCCCAGACTCTTCCCCACCTTTTTTGTTTGTTTGTTTTTCACAAGTATCAGATTAATATCATGGCCCAAAGGCTTTATCTGTCCAAGCTGCTGATTCTCCCTTTTTTCTTTAACAGACATTTCACCTGAATCAACTGTTTGTGTTCTTCACTTGGTCTCCTCACCTGCTTCCTGGAAGACCCAGCTGACACAGATGGTTACAAGAAGTGATTTCCTCCCTATAAAACTTTAGGTAAATAAACTCTCTGAGCTTCACTTTTCTCCCTGTAGAAGGAGCATATTATTAACTCTCTCGCTGGGTAGTTGGGAGGCTTAAATATATAAATTTTAGATTTTATGAGAATTAAATAAGGGAATGTGTGTGAGATGTTTTGCAAACAACCTTGCACATAGTAAATTCAATAACTTATTCAAATGGAAGAGATAAAGGCAGCCATGTGTGGGAACTTATTAGTTTTCTTTACTCCTGATGGATAGGCCATTTGCCTAGCACTGGAGAAGCGTTATTTTTTTCCCCATTGCTATTAACATCTTTGCCTGCAGTGAGAAAAGAAGTAATGGTTATGCCAAACCAAGAAGATGAGACTAGACTTTAAGTACAAGCGATTGTAGTGGTTTTTAAAAATATATATATAGTATATAATATTTAAAATATATATACACATATATATTTGCTGATAATATTTAAAAATATATATACATATATATATATACATTTTGAGATAGGGTCTTGCTCTGTCTCCCAGGCTGGATGGAGTGCAGTGGCATGACCACAGCTCACTGCAGCCTCAAGCTTCCGGGCTCAAGTGATCCTCCGAGGTTAGCCTCCCAAGTAACTGGGACTACAGTGCATGCTACCATGCCCAACTAGTTTTTAAATTTTTTTGCAAAGACGGGGCCTTGCTATGTTCCCAGGGCTGGTCTTGAACTCCTGGGCTCAAGTGATCCTCCTACTATGGCCTCCCAAAGTGCTGGAATTACAGGCATGAGCCCCTGTGCTCAGTTATATATTTTTAAATGATATAATAATGACAATGAAAATTTCAGTTGGAGATTGAATTGTGATTATGTAACCAAATGATTTAAATCTGCAATGTTAAAACAGGAAGAACACTATATATTTTCCATATCTGAAGACTCTATTACAAGATTGGGTAATTTATTCTTCTGCAATGAATTTTGATGTAGCATTCACAAGTCCATAACCAAGATATATTTTAGTTTTCAATAATACGTGGTTTCCTTTTTAAATCACAACGTTTCATTTGATTTCATTCTCATGTATAAAAATGTACACATCACCTTGGGCTAAGTTTTCAGCAAAGGTAGAAAGTGGAATACCATTAGGAACTTTATCCAAATGCTTCGAAGAGCATAGCTCAGCAAAAAAAAAATTTCCCCATCTAGGGGCTATAAACTGCCTATGATAAGGTTTGTACTGAGTTTAAGTCACATCCAAAGTACATTTATGGTACAGGCATTTATTAAAGTATTTATTACTTTCTCTAGCAAGCCCTTCAGCTAGTGGAATTTTAAGACATGTAACCTGGAGGATTGACTTAATTATATTCTGTATTTGATTTTAATGGAGAAACTAATTATTACAGTGCATGAAACTACGAGACAGAAATAACCATCCTTTAGGAGACAGGCTAAGCTTTTTATGTTTAATTTGGTAATTTTCTGACAGCCACACCATTTTCTGCACCTGTTGTTTAAAAAATTAATTTGGAAGAAATTTCCTTACTGTAGGTGGACAATTTGAAAATGAAAAATTCTTACCCTGTGAATTTCTCACCCGGAGCACTTTAACTTTTCCACCAAGCATGTCCCCCTCCCTTCAACTCAAATCAATGTGAATTAACAAGTTTGAATGCACATGCTCTTCCTGAAAAAAAAAAAAAGAAAAAAGATTTTTTTTTTGTTATCTCTGTTGGTCTTGCCAATTAGAATAAGAAGACTGCTCTTTCTGTTTCTTAGAATATCATCCTAAATTTCTGTTTCAACCACTGTCCTAATAACCTCCCTGAATGATCAGTTGGATATAAAATCATAAAGACATACCTGGTTTGGAATAATAACCACATTTCCCCCACTCTTCTACTTTAAAAAGATGTTAGACCTTAACATCATATAATCCACATATTCCATACCTAGTCATTAGTTGCTATTCACAAAAGTAAAATCATGTCACTCATGTAATATTTCTTTCTGTTCCACTGCTCCTGCCTGCAAGTGTTTAGAAGCTCTTCCTATCCCTGTCCTTGCTTCCAACATTGCACACATTTTCTTCTCGTGCTTAAAAATAAATGTCAAGTTCTTGATCTTTTGTTAAAGATTCATTGCCAGAGATGGTTTCACAGCAGGAGCCTTCCTAGGGAGAGAGTTGGCTCACATTCCTGCTAAGAATGTAACCTGGGAATGATGGAAAAATAATTATAATCAATGTCAGAGAGCATATGGGTTTCTACCGAGAAGCCTGCCAAGTAGGACCTGCACTAATCCTTTCCATCCATTATCAGCCAGTTGACTCTAACAGACAAATTCCTCATATTTGGATAAATGAAAGTCCAAATCTCACACATATTTCTCCCACATCTGAGAGGTTTCTGAGTGAAACCAGTGAATGCCTTGCATTTCTGAAGGTTAGTTTCCATAAAACTACATTATTGTGTTTTCTTGTCTGTAAATGTGGGATTGCCTTATTTCTACTACATCCTTTAATGTGGGTGACCCTCTAAGGTCAGTACACACATAGTGAAAGACATGAGGCCATTCTAATATGTACATTGAAAAGAACCACATTTTAAAAGCTTTGTGGTGATGTGTGTTTCGGCTGGGTACACCCCAACAGTATGTGTCGTGTTTTTAAAAGAGGAATTATGCTGAGTTAATTAAGTGGAAGCAGAAACACCTGGTGCATATCATTATGGAATAAGGCCCTGGGTGATTTAATTAAGATCTTTATGGTTACCAAGTGGCTTTCCAAGTATTTTTCCACTGAACTTATATTTTACTTTACCTTCCACCCTGCTTCTCTTCAGATATATGCCAGGTGGTATATAGTTTTTGTTTTTTTTTTTTTTTTTTTTTTTTTTGTGAGACAGTCTAGCTCTGTTGGCCAGGCTGGAGTGCAGTAGTGTGATCTCGGCTCACTGCAACTCCTGCCTCTCAGGTTCAAGCGATTCTCATGCCTCAGCTTCCCAAGAAGCTGGGATTACAGGCGCATGCCACCAAGCCAAGCTAATTTTTGTATTTTTAGTACAGACAGGGTTTCACCATGTTGTCCAGGCTAGTCTCGAACTCCTGGCCTCAAGTGATCCACCCATCTTGGCCTCCCAAAGTGCTGGGCCTACAGGCGTGAGCCACTGTGCCTGGCCAGTATATAGTTCCTTTTAGGAGAGAATTTTCTCTCTGTAGAATCTCTGAATACGGGAAACCAGACATGAATTTGAATTCTCCTTATAAGCCTCTGTGATTCAAGGATTAGAGCAACTTGCCTCTTTTCTATACAGCAGAAAGATAAAATTCAGTCCATCCTAAACCAACATTCTTTTATTTTCTAAGCATCAATAAATCAATAAACACAATAAATATATTGTATGCCTTCTTGTTAAAAAATGCAGAGTAGACAAAGCGGGGCATTCTAATTTAGAGTAGATGATTCTTCCAATATTTAGAACACTTCCAGCAAGGAGAAAAATGAACTGGAAATGAGGTTGCTGTTTGCTAGTATGGAACCCCATTCGTAGATCTAGCACCCAACACAGACACAATAAATTGGGCAGTGGCCTCTCAGTCCTCTCTGCTCCAGTGGAAATGTTCAGTATGGCTGTCCAGCTCTCAAGTCATATGCTAAAACAAAGATTTTAAAAGATGAGTTGTATATTGATATTGTGATGCCACTCAGCCATATAACTTGGCCCCAGATCCCACTGCTAAAGTTGTAAAAATGAAATGATTTTTGGCTGGGAACAGTGGTCGCACCTGTAATCCCAGAACTTTGGGAGGCGGAGGCAGGTGGATCACTTGAGCCCAGGAGTTTGAGACCAACCTGGGCAACACGGTGAAACCCTATATCTATTTAAAAGAAAAGAAAAAAAAAAAAGAGGCTGAGCTCAGTGGCTGAAATCTGTAATCCCAGCACTTTGGGAGGCTGAGGCAGGTGGATCACTTGAGCCCAGGAGTTTGAGACCAGCCTGGCCAACATAGTGAAACCCCTCTCTACTAAAAATATAAAAATTAGCTGGGCGTGGTGCTGCGTGCCTATAGTCCCAGCTACTCGGGAGGCTGAGGCAGGAGAATCGCTTGAACCTGGGAGGCAGAGGTTACAGTGAGCTGAAATCATGCCACTGCACTCCAGCCTGGCGACAGAGCGAGACTCTGTCTCAAAAAAAAACAAAAAAAGAGCCAGGTATGGTGGTGCATGCCTATAATCCCAGCTGCTCGGGATGCTAAGGCAGGAGAATCGCTTGAACCCAGGAGGCAAAGGTTGCAGTCAGCCGACATCGTGCCATTGCACTCCAGCCTGGGCAACAGAGCGAGACTCCATCTCAAAATAATAATAATAATAATAATAATAATAATAGTAATAATAATGAAAGAAAAGAAAGAAAGAAAACAAATCATCGACCCCAATGCTGCATTATCAGCTTTCAGGAAGACTTGTATTTTACTTCTTATTCACCCCCGCTCCCACCTCACCAGCATGTATCTGTAAAACCTATGAAAACTTCAAGGTGACAAATACCCCTAAAATACGCCTGGGTGCAATTCTGTATTTGTAGAGTAAAATGAGTCAGATATGGACATCCTCACATAGCAACTGATCAGAGGAGGATGAAAACCAGAACTCAAAGACTTAAAGCATTTTTAACTGAGAAAAAAATTCTAGCTATATCTCTGCAACTGGTTTGACAGAACCTAGAAATCAAATTTGGCAAATACTGGTCCCATGTATTTTGTGAGGATACTATTTTTTTTTTTTTTTTTTTTTTTTTGAGACGGAGTCTCGCTCTGTCGCTCAGGCTGGAGTGCAGTGGCCGGATCTCAGCTCACTGCAAGCTCCGCCTCCCGGGTTCCGGTCATTCTCCTGCCTCAGCCTCCCGAGTAGCTGGGACTACAGGCGCCCGCCACCTCGCCCGGCTAGTTTTTTTGTATTTTTTAGTAGAGACGGGGTTTCACCCTGTTAGCCAGGATGGTCTCGATCTCCTGACCTCGTGATCCGCCCGCTTCGGCCTCCCAAAGTGCTGGGATTACAGGCTTGAGCCACCGCACCCGGCCGAGGATACTATTTATATCATCAAAAGACTCCATAGTTCGTTTGATGTGGTGGCCAAATAAGATTATAGAAGTTTTCTTTTTCTTGAGTAGGCTGTACTGTGCTTATTAATAATAAAAACACTTCACCCACTTGTTCAGTATAAAGGCAGGCTCTAATGCCCTAGTGAATTGTGTTGTCAGGTTTATTAGTAAGTTGTTTATTTAGAAATCAAAATTCTATAAACCCAGTGGTATAAATGGTAGTTAAATTCCAAGCATAAGTCCCAAATCGGATTGACTTCTAAGTCATGGGAGCAAAACCAAGGCTGAGTTCCAGCTGCTGGGAGTGAACACCTGTGCCAGTTCTTCTCCATTTATCACCTGCTCAGTGCTCTGGAAGGCCAGCTTCCTACAGACTGATTTGTTCACCTGGGCTTCCTTGCTGGCTGGCTTTCAGTTGGCTTCAGTCAAGAAGGGGCACAGACTAGAAATAGGAGACAAGATAAGGTGGGGTGTTTCTTCATCTGTTCCTCTCCTGCTTAGCTGCCAGCAACCTGGCAATGGCTATGTCCCTCCAAGACTACATTTCTAGCTGGGAAGCCTCTTCCACAGCCCCAGCTCTTAGTGGGCTCTGGGAATATGGTTCCTTCCCTTTGGCCCCCAGTCTTGGGGGTATAACAACTCCTTGCTCTTGCTCCTCTCAGGTATCTGAACATCCTGTGTTGGTTTTCTTTCTTTTTTTTATTTTATTTATTTTTTATTTTTTTGAGACGGAGTCTCGCTCTGTTGCCCAGGCTGGAGTGCAGTGGCCGGATCTCAGCTCACTGCAAGCTCCGCCTCCCGGGTCTATGTCATTCTCCTGCCTCAGCCTCCCGAGTAGCTGGGACTACAGGCGCCTGCCACCTCACCCGGCTAGTTTTTTGTGTTTTTTTAGTAGAGATGGGGTTTCACCGTGTTAGCCAGGCTGGTCTCGATCTCCTCACCTCGTGATCCGCCCGTCTCGGCCTCCCAAAGTGCTGGGATTACAGGCTTGAGCCACCGCGCCCGGCTGTGTTGGTTTTCTTAACCCTGTCCTTGCCTCAGAGAATAATCTCTTCATTACAGTTTCTTCATTTGTGCCATCTCAGGAGAATTTCATTCATCAAGATCCTGACCAGCTGGGCGTGGTGGCTCACACCTATAATTCCAGCACTTTGGGAGGCTGAGATGAGGAGTTTGAGACCAGCCTGGCCAGCATGGTGAAACCCCGTCTCTATTAAAAATACAAAAATTAGCTGGGCGTGGTGGCTTGAGCCTGTAATCTCAGCTACTCGAGAGGCTGAGGCAGGAGAATCACTTGAACCTGGGAGGTGGAGTTTGCAGTGAGCCGAGATAGCTCCATCTAAAAAAAAAAAAAAAAAAAAGGCCCTGACCAAGAAACTGAAGGAGGAAAAAGAGGAAAAAAATATTTCATGTTTCTTTCCTGAGTGCAGGAATCCCTGGTGGAATTTCAGACAGGATAATTCATGGATCTAACAGGTATTAATCATGTTCCTCTTATATGCCATTCATAATGAATAAAGTAGATCCAGTTCCTGCCCTCAACAATAAACACACACATGAATAACCAAAATAGGTACATGTTTTGGAAAATCTTACGTAGGAAATAAACAGGGTGCACTGATAGAGAGTCACTCATGGGGGAGAGCAGTTTTGGATGGGGTGGTCAGGGAAGGCCTCGCTGAGGAGGTGACATGTAACTGAGACCTCAGGGTTGAGAAGCAAACAGCCACCGTACAAAGATCAGTCAAAGCACAGGGAACATGTGTTCCAGGCAGAAGGAGCTGAAGGTGTAAAGGTTTGTAGGTGGGAAAAGAGCTTTGTGGGAAAACCAGGACGTATGGCAGCTGTTTGACTTTGGAGGAAACAAAAGACATATTTGCAAGCCACATGGAGAGTGGAAGGAATACAAATGTGACTGGAGGAGGGGCCAGGTGGAGAGTGGGAGAGACGAAGCTGGACAGGAGCTCAGAGAATGCAGGGCAGGCCCTGTAGGCCAGGGTGAAGACGACGGTTTTTATTCCAAGTATAGTGGGGAGCCAAGAAGAGTTTTAAAGAGCAGAGTCATACAATCTGGTTTATCTTTTTAAAAGATCGCGCTTGCTGCTCTGTGAAGAAGGACTGGGCGAAAAAGAAGTAGAATCAGGGAGAACAGTCCGAGGGTGATCAAAATTATCCAGACGGAAGACGACTACGTTTTAGTCTGAAGTGGTGGGAGTGGTGATGGAGAAGAGCAGACATCTGCGAGTTTTATTTTGGAGATAGAGCCACAGGACTTGGTAAGGATTGGGCATGCGGGGAGGCAAGGGGAAGGGAAGAGTCAGGGAAGCCTCCCAGGTTGCTGACTTGGGCCTCTGTCTGGAGGGTGAAGCTGTTTATGGAGAGGAGGAAGACTAGGGGAAGAATAAGGATGGAAAGATTTTTAAGATGAAGATGTCCACGAGACATCCAGGGAAATATCAAGCCGGCAGATGGCTGCCTGAACCTGGAGCCCAGCTGACAAGTTTGAGCTGGAGGATCTTTTTTTCTAATCTGTTAGTGGTCAAGTAGCCATCTCAGGTCAACCCGGCTTATGCCAAAAGAGACCTCCATGAGGTCTGTATGAACCTGTTAAAACTCTATTCGGGGCTTAGACATGAAGCCCCACTTAGTAAAAAGCATCCCTCTACCCTGTTTTGTCATAAGTGCACATATTTTCTTTGAAGAAAAGGATTGCTAGTCAAAAACAAGATTTGAGAATTCCTAGGTCCCTGACTAAATACTGTCATAATCTTGCCCCTAGAGTTCCAATTTTAACATGACTTCATGGTATATTTAAAGAGCAAGCCCCAGAGTCCAGTTGGAGTGACAGACAATAATGTCCTCATGGGGAGACATAGGCCCATAGTAAGAGATAAGGTTCCAAAGCTTTTCCTTCTGGCTGTCATGGCAACAGCAGCAAGAGCTCTGGAGGTGGGAAGGAGGACAAGGAGGAGAGAGGAGCAACCAGAAGCTGTGGTGGCTGTTAGTCTGCAGAGAATAATTCAAGACAGATATTTGCAAGCTGCGTGGAGCACAAGCCCTGTACATCCAGGTTAGTTGTAAGTATACAGTTTGTAAGTGGACAATTTGTTCATTTTAAGAACCAGAGATACACATAAAAGCTTTGTCAGACTAGGGGGCTAGGAGTACATCATGCATCTGTTTTATCCCTTGTACTTAGTGTACTGCCTGGGGCTCCATGTACTTGAATAAATGAGCAAATGAGGTCTCAAAAGAAGAGTCACCTGCTTATTTCATATGGGTTCAAAAGTTGCCAGGTGGATAGAGACTTTGGATAAAGATTTTAGTTTACATCAGAACCATATGCATATGGTGGTCAGTGATTACAGAGTGACAAGCCTGAAAAGAAAACTAGCCCCCAAGCCAAAAGCCTGAGTTGGTTGGGGGTGGGACGCAGGTCTCGTTCCCCGAGACTGAAGCTGAAATTATTCACTAACCATGGATAAGTTATATAATTGTATACTTCCCATCAGGATCCAGTTAATGATAGATTTTGGACTACTTTTTTTTTTTTTTTTGAGATAGAATCTCACTCCGTTGCTCAGGCTGTAGTGCAGTGGGGTGATCTTGTCTCACTGCAACCTCCGCCTCCCAGGTTCAAGTGATTCTCCTACCTCAGCCTCCCAAGTAGCTGGGACTACAGGCGTGTGCCACCATGCCCTGCTACTTTTTTATTATTATTATTTTTAATAGAGATGGGGTTTCACCATATTGGCCAGGCTGGTCTCAAACTCGCGGCCTCATGTGATCCTACTGCCTCGGACTCCCAAAGTGCTGGGATTACAGGTGCGAGCCAACACGCCCGGCCTGGACTAGATTCTTGAGGTGATTAAATATCATCTATAACTGGGAATGTAACAAAGGCTGTGGAAGTAAGGAAAGGTGATGGTGTGATAAAAGAATACAGACAAAAGGGCATGGATTCCTGCCTACCCTAAAAACAAGGAGACTTGAGGAGTTAAACTTTGTTCAAGAGAGTTTAGTATATCTGATGCTCACAAATATCCAGATATTTGAAAAAGAAAATCCCCAGTGCTGTGGACCCTTGGAGAGCCTATGTCACATATCCCTCAAGACCTTTCATCTGTCTTTGTTCTAATTCTGTACTCACCAAGCAATCAATATTTTCATCACTAATTCTGTTTCTTTATATGCTGACAAGGATACCCTGAATAAAAAACATGCATATCTGATAATAGGAAAAGTATATTCCCCTCTCTAAATTGCACTGATAATAAAATTCAGACACCTGATTATCAAGGTCTTCCAGCCCTCCTGATTTGCCTCTGATGACCTCTGTGATCTCAGCTGCTGTCACTCTCCCCTGTGGCACTAGGCTCTAGTCACCATGGCCTTCTTTCCATTCCTGCAATACCATAGACATCCCGCTCAGTCTTCCCCTTCCAGTTTCACCTGCCAGCCCTGCTCTTCCCCCAGATATTCCCATGCTTGGTTACCTCTTTTTTTTTTTTTTTTTTTAAAGCCCAGTATTTTTTTTTTTTTTTTTTTTTTTTTTGAGACGAAGTCTCACTCTGTCGCCCAGGCTGGAGTGCAGTGGCCGGATCTCAGCTCACTGCAAGCTCCGCCTCCCGGGTTCACGCCATTCTCCTGCCTCAGCCTCCCGAGTAGCTGGGACTACAAACGCCCGCCACCTCGCCTGGCTAGTTTTTTGTATTTTTTTAGTAGAGATGGGGTTTCACCGTGTTAGCCAGGATGGTCTCGATCTCCTGACCTCGTGATCCGCCCATCTTGGCCTCCCAAAGTGCTGGGATTACAGGCTTGAGCCACCGCGCCCGGCCCCGCTTGGTTACCTCTTACCTGCCCATCAGATCTTAGGTCAAACATCACCTCCTCAGAGAGATCTCTGTGCCCATTGTTGCAACCTTTCCCCATTTTACCTTCCCTAATGGTCACTTTCTATCCCTTAGACTGTTTTCTATTTCACTAAATAATATCTTATTTGTGTACTTCCTTATTATCTGATTCTCTCCATTGGAATACAAGTCCAATGCCACTGTAGCCCCAGCACTTAGCACAAACTCAAGGCTCAACAAGTATTTGTTTAATGAATGGAATGTGGGAAAGAATAAAATATGAGCTGCTATAGATGAGAGAGAGGAGATACAAATAGGGACCACATATGAGGTAAACAGAACCTTCCCGTGCTCTCACACTGTGACTTTTGATAGAGACAAGGTCTCACTCTGCCAACCAGGCTTGAGTACAATGACATGATCATAGCTCACTGCAGCCTCAAACTCCTGGGCTCAAAGGATCCTCCTGCCTTGGCCTCCCAAGTAGCTGGGACTTCCAGCGTGCACCACCATGCCTCGCTAATTTTTAAATTTTTTGTTGAGATGGGGTCTCACTATGCTGCCCAGGCTGGTCTCAAATGCCTGGCCTCAAGTGATCCTCCCACCTCAGCCTCCCAAAGTGTTGGGATTACCGTGAGCCACTGTACCTGGTTCTACTTCACTTTAGACTGTGAACAACTTGAGGACGAGGACCATCTTGTTCATGTTGGCATCCCCATGGCCAAATAAATGTCTGTGGCACCCTTTAATGCCCCTCTGATGGAAATGGGAAGTTCAGAGACAATTTTGAGAGTTTCTACTGGGTGAGCTTAGCTTAACTGGCTGGGTGAGAGCCTGCCAGAAGGAGCAGTTTTTACAAGACGAAAGAAAAAAGATGTGTGTGGGTAGTGACAGCACCAAAAGATAGCCTAGGGTCGGTCCGTTAGCCCTTCCTCCTCTGTAATCTCCATCAGCATCCTCCAGATCTAAAAAGATTCCAGGGAATTGCCTCAAACTTCCCCCATTGTGCTGCCCTGATTGCCCCCAGATTGCTGCCCTGAGCTTTTCCTGGCTAAAAATACCATAGCCTCACCTACCACCAGGGATAGGGTTAAAAACATAAAAATAAAAATAAAGAAGGAAATGCCAGAGCCATCCCTGTACATAAAACTTAGACAGGGCTGTGTGCGGTAGCTCACACCTGTAATCCCAACACTTTGGAAGGCCAAGGTGGGAGGATCACGAGGTCAGGAGTTCGAGACCAGCCTGGCCAACATGGCAAAACCCCATCTCTACTAAAAATACAAAAAAAAAAAAAAAGCCAGGTATGGTGGCATGCGCCTATAATCCCAGCTACTCAGGAGGCTGAGGCAAGAGAATTGCTTGAACCCGGGCGGTGAGGTTGCAGTGAGCTGAGATCACACCATTGCACTCCAGCCGGGGCGACAGAGTGAGACTCTGTCTCAAAAAAAAAAAAAAAAAAAAAAAAAAGAAACAGCTTTCACTTGACCAAAGTCCAGAAATGGACATAAGAAGACAGGCCAGCTAAAAACAAGGGTGCACAAAAGAGCACCAGTGAGAACCAGCATTCAACAAAGAGTGACTGGAAAGAACTGTTTAACATTTCAAACATTACCAGCTGAGTAACATGAGAGCGAACTCGTTATTTAGCTCAACTATATATAGTTTGCATCCTGGAATCCACTCATACTCATACTATATATAGTAGAGTTTTATGCGTGCACTTGAATTGATTGTGTGTGCTGGACTGGACTGAAGTGTTCCTGTGGTGCCAGAAATGAAGAGAAAATGGAAATCTTCCATGGGCCTATGGGTATGTTCATTACCACTGTTGCCATTTTCACAAACGTGTGACGGTGGCAGAAAGCTAATTGAGACCAGCCATGGAATAACAGGGCAGAAACTGGCTAAGGAATACTTTGGTTTGAGAATTTCTCTTGGAAAGATGCCTCCTTTCCATCTATTCCTTGTGGAGTATTTAAAGACTGCCTATGGTCATTGATCAGAAATAATACATATTAAAAGAAAGTTTCAAGGTCTAAATAATACCGAGGTGTTATACCAAAAAAAAAAAAAAAAAAAAAAAACACAAAAATAATTTATTGTCTGGTCTAACTCAACAAAACAGTTCTATCAAACTACTCATCATTCCCTGGCTCTTAAACTTCAGTTTTTGGAATATAAGCACTTTTTATGAACTTCTGCTTTTTCTTGATTAGAACAGCAATTTTTCTGACCTGCTTTGAAAAGTACAGTGTACTCTGGATAGCCCATTTCAGGCCAAAAAAAATCCCTTATTTTAAATCAGGAGTCTCAAATCTCTTTTGAAAAGCTGCTTTTTTAGGTCAGGCGCAGTGGCTCATGACTGTAATCCCAGCACTTTGAGAGACTAAGGCGGGTGGATTACTTGAGGCCAGGGGTTCGAGACCAGCTTGGCTAACATGGTGAAACCCCCATCTCTACAAAAAATGCAAAAATTAAGCAGGCGTGGTGGCTCATGCCTGTAGTCCCAGCTACTTGGGAGGCTGAGGCAGGAGGATCACTTGAGCCTGTGATGCAAAGGTTGCAGTGAGCCGAGATGGTCCATTGCACTCCAGCTTGAGAACATGGTAGTGTTTTTTGGTTGTTTTTTGTTTTGTTTTGTTTTGTTTTGTTTTGCGACGGAGTCTCACTCTATCACCCAGGCTGGAGTGTAGTGGCTGTAATCTCGGCTCACTGCAACCTCTGCCTCCTGGGTTCAAGCGATTCCCCTGCCTCAGCCTCCTGAGTAGCTGGGATTACAGGCACCCGTCACCATGCCTGACTAATTTTTGCATTTTTAGTAGAGATAGGGTTTTGCCCTGTTGGCCAGGGTGGTCTCGAACTCCTGACCTCAGGTGATCTGGCAGCCTTGGCCTCTGAAAGTGCTGGGATTACAGGCGTGAGCGACCATGCCCAGCCAAGAGTAGTGTTTTTACTGTCCAATATCTAACATCCCTTCCTGACAATATACCCCAGTTTCACTTTTCTACCTATGCACTTCAAATGAAGCACTTCATTCCTGTACCCACAGTGGGGCACGTAACCTAGACTAGGCCAATGATGGCATGCTCTGTTTGGCGACTGTGATTGATGAGATGGGCAAAGGATTCAAACTGGGCCAATCAAAGCCCGTAAGACTCAATTCTGGAACT